ATACATAGTTGGTGTCAGTGAATATAACTAGATACGTAGTTGGTGTCAGTGAATATAACTAGATATAATTGTATGCAGAGTTGGTGTCAGTGAATATAACGAGATACAACTGTATACATAGTTGGTGTCAGTGAATATAACCGTATGCAGAGTTGGTGTCAGTGAATATAACCGTATGCATCGTTGCTGTCAGTGAAAATTACGAGATACAATTGTATCCACAGTTGGTGTCAGCGACCCTTACTAGATACAATTGTATCCACAGTTGGTGCTACCTGCCCTCCCTGCTCCTGGCGACCTCACACACAACAGAACAAAGCGCTGCCCCCTCCTGCACCATCCTCACAATTGGTTTCAGATCAGGTTGCTGTTTTCATTGGCTGATTTTTGGAAGTACCTCACCAGGCCTTTCTTCCTAGCCTATCTTAGTCTGGAAGCTCTGCTAAAGTTTTACAAAAAGGCTTTTGGAGTTTTTAGTGGAATTAGCACAAAGCTCTGCATTAATTTGGGAAGAACTGGCATATTTACTATGTTGATTTTTCCTGTCCATGAACACAATAAATGCTTGATTAGATTTATTCCTATGCATCTTGTCTATTTTCTTGATATCCCAAATTGTATGATCTTTAAAATCGCATTTTCTAACTCACTGTTGCTGCTCCGTAGGAATGAAGCTGCCGTCCCCTCCCCTCCCCGCCTTACAGCATACCCGTATTGACAGGTCCTCAAAGAGGATGCCTCATTCTGCAGACAGTGTTACCACAGTGGGGACCCACCCTGTTTGTCCTGGGAGGGAAGCCCTGTTTCCTGGAGAAACCCACCCCCAGTCCTGGAATTCCGTCTTCCCAGGAAGCCTCTGCCAAGCCAGCCCAGAGGCATGGGTTGTGAAATCCTGGCTCTGGGTCTGGCTGGGCAGCGAGGGCTGACAACTATGTATACAATTATATCTAGTTATAGTCACTTTATTGCTGTTTTGGATACAGGTGTTACAAACACCTTCTCTAAGTTTGTCTCTTTTCACTTTGCTTGTGGTGTCTTTTCACACACGGACCATTGTATTTTAATGTAGCCAACACATCAGTCTTTTCCTTTTGTCCCATCTGTGTCTCACTTCAGATATTCTTATCCTGAGCACAAGGGACACGCTCGAGGCTGGAGACCCCTGCCCTTTGGGGAGGATGCCCGCAGAGCCCTCGTGCCCAGGGTAATACCTTGTTCAGTGGACCAGGACCCCGAGGCCAGCTTGCCTGGTGGCACAGCTGGGGTGGAGGTGGACTAGAGCCTGGGGGTCCTGACACCTGCACCCTACAGCCCTCCCTCCTTGACTCTGGTGAGGAGGCCAGTCTCAGGCCTTGGTTTCAGACCTGGAGCCTGGAGAGCAGGTAGGGGTGGCCAGGTGAGGCTGAAGGCCTGGAGGAGGGGCCACCAGGTGTGCTGCTGGATGTGCGTCCCTGAGGCAGGGCCTTGGCTGCAAAGAAACCTGGGGTTCAGCCCCCCATTCCTTGGCTCAGCCTTTGTTTTGGTGCAATACAAGTCTTCACACTTTTAGCAGCTTAGAACCACAACCAGCTGCTCAGGTCAGAGGACTCCCTGGGGGTGCAAACGGTTAATGCACCCAGCTGCCAACCGAAGGGTTAGAGGCTGGAGTCCACCCAGAGGGACCTCAGAAGAAAGGCCTGGCAATCTACTTCTGAAAAACCAGCCACTGAAAACCCTGTGGAGCACAGTTCTGCTCTGACACACACGGGGTCACCAGAGTCAGGGTCGACTCACAGCAGCTGGTTCTGGTCTTAGGACAGAAGTTCAGGCATGTTTCTCGGCTCAGGGGCTCAGCAGGCTGCAATCAAGGGGTCCCCGGGGCAGGGGTCTCATCCGGGGCTCAGGAGCCTCTTCTAATCTCACTGGTTGGTGGCAGAATTCAGTTCCCCATGGCTGTAGGACCTGAGGTCCCTGGGTCCTTGAGGCTGCTGCAAGGGCTGCTCTCAGTTCCTAGCTGTTGCCCCCTGATCCTCGCCTCAGGATCCCCCTTCCCAGACAGTTCATGGTGTGGGCGTTTGCTGCCTCATGGCCAAGGAGTCTCTGCAGGCTCCAATCTCTCCTTCAGGGAGGGCTGGGCCCTCTTTTACAGGGCTCGCCTGATTAGGTCAGACCCACCCAGGAAAACTTCCCCTTGGAGTAAGGCAAAGTTGGCTAATTAGGGACCTTAACTACTCCAACACCCTCTCCCCTTTGCCATATATCATAACCTAATCTATTCACAGGCCTCACCCACACAAGGGGCGGGAGCGTTGGGACCATCTTCGAATTTCGCCTGCCTCAGCCTCCTCTGGGAAGCCCTCCATCAGAGTTTTTATTTGCATTTTCACGTGAACCCTCAAGGGCTCAAGAAGCCCTGGACACTGTGCTCAGCGTTTCCTACGCTGCTGTTGATCTTCTACCAGTCCAGCAAGGTACTCCTCGTAACCTGTGACAGGTATGGAAACTGGGGGTGCCTACTGTTGGGTGCTTCAGCTGGGGTTTGGACCGCCTCCTGCCCCTGAACTTGTGCAGACCCCACCCGGCTCCCGGCAGAGACGACCTGCAGGCAGTTCAGTCTGTGACTGAGAGCTTCCCTTCTGCCCAGGCACGGACGCCCAAGAAAGTGTCAGCTGACTGCCACCAGCTTCCTCGGACCACGCAGCTGGGAACATGGATGGAGCAGGGCAGACTCTGCTTGAATGCCCCTGCCGACAGGGAGCTCACTTCTCCCTGAGGTGGCCTCTTCCATCTCTGGAGAACTATGCCCCCCCAGGAGAAGGTTCAGCTTCACACCAGCTACAGCCCAACTCCCTGCAACGCCTGTCCGTCGTTCAGGACACGAAGGTGGCCACACACCTGTGGAGTCAATGACAATGGCAGGCTTTCTGTGCATTCTTGGGGTGGTCACCATCCCTCTCTGGGCCTCAGGGCCCTCTGGTCAACATTTGTCAATTACATGGAACCAGGTGGGAAGAAGGCAAGCTCTCCGAGGAGGGTGGAGGTAGCTGGCTCGGGCCAGGAGGGGCCTGGGTGACCTTGGGCCAGCGGCCGTCCTTCTGTGTTTGGGAGTGGGATGGAGAGTGTTGGAGTGGAGCTTGTGCGTGGTGGGGCCGGGGTTTGACCCCAGGGGTTTGGCTATGTGCCCTTCCTCCTGACCTCCCGCCTGCTCGAGGAGAAGGGTTCCCAGGAGACCTATGCCCAAAGCAGTGTCCCCGTGGGGCAGGCAATGGGGACCCGTGCAGGTTGTGGGAAGAAGGGTCCCAGTCAGAACAGGGTCAGGGCAGGAGGATGACAGCTCATGAAGGGGACAGGGAGGGTACAGATTCCAAAGGCCCATCCTCCTGGGCAGATGGTCATGCCTGGAGTGACTGGGGCTGCTGGTCCCACCCCACATGGGCTCACTGCCGGCCTAGGTGCCAGGCAAGCGCACACCAGCTGTGTCTTCAGTTATCACAGTGGGCGCCTTCTGCTGCGTCAATTACAACCCCTTCTCCTCCTCCTGGCTCTCCAAACCCAACCCTCCAAGATGGCGGTCTGGGGTCAAGTTCGGCTTGGACAGGCTCCTTCCCCAAGGAGGGTGTTGGCTCGGGACAGCTCTCTTCTGCCCCCTGGTGGGGAGAGGCGAGCAGGGCCTGCAGGCTGCCTCTGAGCCGCCAGGATCTCTGGGGGTGGTGGGCTCCCCCAATGCCCAGGACCAGGGGGAGGAGGAAGGATGGTGCCCCCCTGCCCCCCCATCCAGGCCCACCCAGGCTCTGCGACCTCTGCTAAGGTGGAGAACAGAACCCAGGCTGGAATTGGGACAGGACACCAGGTCCTGGCCAGAGTCTGCCCGTAGTCTCTCTGCAACCTCAGTTTCCCTACCTGTTACATGAGGGGCCTGGGGGAGAGGGTGAGGAGTGGCTGCTTAACGGGAAATAGGGTTTCCTTGGGGGTGCGGGACAAGTTCTGGAGCTGGCTGGAGGTGCCCGGCGCACAGCCCGTGGAAGTGCCGCACCACCCACTTCTTGCTTCCAATGGCGTATTTCCTGTGAGTTTCACCTTGTTAAAAAAATTTAAAAAGAGGGGCTTGGAATAGGGCAGTGGGGGGGGGGACTCCCCTGGGGTTCACACAGCCTCTCTGAACCTCAGTTTCCCTACCTGTGAAGTGGGGAGCTGGGCTTTCCCTTAGCTAAGAGGCTCAGGAGAAGGGAGGGCTGGACTCTGGGGCTCCAAGTAGGTGGAGAGGGTGAGGAGGGGGTCAACGGGGAGAGGAAATGGGCTGGGGGCGGCCCAGAGAATGCCTTTAAACAGTCTCTACAGCAGACCCCACACGGGGTGCACCAGGGCTAGACATGGGACTGGCCAGGCTGGGGCCAGAGGGCACTCAGACGGGGGCGGGGGTGGGGGCACCCATGCCCCCCTTTCCCCCCATGTTGCTTTCCTGACAAGGACGAGGGTGCAGAGGTGCAGAAAACAACCACTCACACTTTCCTCCTTCCCCGAGGGTGGCAGGTGGCTCGGGCTGGCCCTGGAGCTCTGCCCCCACTGCCGTGTGACCTCAGGCGGGCCTGACCTCTCTCTGCCTTTACGCCTTCAACCGTCAGTGCGGACCATGGTAGCCTGCCCTCTCAGACACATCGTTTGAGCTCCGTGGTGGAAACGATGATGTTACAAGACCGCACCATGGGCGTTGCAGAACCATCTCCCCTCTGACAGGCAGGGACCCTGACAGGCAGGGACACCGAGGCTGGAGGTGAGATGGCTCGCCCAAGGCCACACTGCGTAGACAGTGGGGGGGGCTGGCCTGGGTCTGATGGACTCACAGTCTTTCTCATTGTGCCCCGGGATGGGAGGGGGGGCAGTAGTGCAGACCACTGAGGAAGGGGCCTGGTCCCGGACACACCCTGGGGGCAGACCAACAGAGGACACCTCAGAGGTGCTGGTGAGTAACTGTGGGAGGGCATTTATTGCTACCGAGCCCTGTCTTTGTGTCTCAGTTTCCCAGAAAATGAGCCACACAGACCCTGAGAGAGACGCCCTCAGGATGGGGGGCCGGAGGCCAGCCAGGCTATGCGCCCGTAGTATGGGTCAGGAGACAGGTTGATTCTGCGGACGTTGAGCTCAGTGGCGAAGGCCCTGGCCTTTTGGTAAAAAAAGAGGGACTTCTCTCGGTCCACGAGGAAGTTGTGGTAGATGGTGGCCAGGCGCGTGTAGATCTTCAGCTGGGCCTTCTTGTTGCCCAGGTCCACGGCGGCAGCCAGTGCCAGCTGGTAGTACCCCGCAGCATCGAACGGGTCCTGCAAGGGGGGAATCAGCTGCTTGACCCCGGACCGATCCTTCGGCGCTGGGGCGGGAGGGGGCTCAGCTTCATCTCTCCAAAGGCCATTCTTGTCCCTGGGTCATCTCACCATCCCCCAAAGTTGTGGACTGAATTGTGTCCCCCAAAAAGACATGTTGTGGTCTACCCCCTGCCCTGTGAAGGTGACCTTGTTTGGGGAAGTAGGGTTTTTCTTGCAGATGTCATTAATTAAGACATCCTACCAGAGTAGAATGGACGCCATTGAACTGTGGGGTTGGAGAAGAACACTGAATGTACCATGGACTGCCAGAAGAATGAACACATCTGCCTTGGAAGAAGTACAGCAAGAATGCTCCTTAGAAGTAATGATGGCAAGACTATGTCTCACGTACTTTGGACATGTTATCAGGAGGGACCAGTCCCTGGAGAAGGACATCATGCTTGGTAAAGTACAGGGTCAGCGAAAAAGAGGAAGACCCTCAATGAGATGGATTGACAGTGGCTGCAAGAATGGGCTCAAGCATAACAACGATTGTGAGGATGGTGCAGGACCGGGCAGTGTTTCATTCTGTTGTACACAGGGTTGCTGTGAGTGAGAACCCACTTGATGGCACCTAACAACAACACTGGCATAGGGTGGGTCCTAGTCCTAATCCCTTCTGAGTGTTGTCTTATAAAGAGAAGGAGAGGCGGAAACAGTCACACACAGAGAAAGACAGCAGGTGCAGATGGACAAGCAGCAAGAGGAAACCAAGGATTGCTGGCAGCCACCAGATGCCGGAGACAGACACGGAACAGCTCCTCTCTCAAAACCCCCAGAAGCAATGCACACAGCCAAAACCCTGTCTTGGACTCTCAGCCCCCAGAACTGGGAGACTGTACATCCCTGCTCTCCAAAGCCACCCATGGGTGGTATTTGTGGCATGGCAGCCCCAGCTTGAAGTCTCTCCCAAGGTCATCTCTTGGAACTCTGCTGCAGCTGGATGGCAAGCTCCCCAACATCCACCCTTGTCTCAAGTCCAGTATTGTCCCCATGCCCATGCTGCTGGTCAGGTGGCCTCCCTCCCTCCGTGGCCCCTATGTCCACACCAAGGTTACTCGGCCCCTCTTCCCTGCTTAGCTCCCCTGTCTTGTATCTCACAATGGCTGCCAGGACCCAGGACAAAGCCCAAGGCTCACCAGCTCATCCCTTCGCTGGCCCTCACACACAGAACCAGCTCCAAGAACAGGCACCAACACGGGCAGCAGACACGCCCCATTCCCCCGAGTGTCATAGCCTGCGGAGGCTGGAGACGTGGCTGATCCCTCCACATCCTGCTCCTAGTCCTGGGACATGGGGGCAGGTGGTGAACACAGGGTGGCAAGGCCTGTGGCAGAGGGAGGAGCTGGAGCCTGTGGGAGTCTCAGAAAGCACCCACCTCAGTCTGGGGTGGGGGGTGGGAGGGAGAGCTCCATGGAGGAGGGGAAATCTCAACGAAACGGGAAAGAGTCAGAGTGAGTGGGCCCGGGGGATGCGTACGTGTGTGCATGTGTACGTGTGTGTGCACATGTGCGTGTGTGTACGTGTGTGCATGTGCACACTTGTGTATGTATATAAATGTGTGCACACGTGTGCATGCATGTGTGGTGCATGTGAGTTAACGTTCACGTGTGAATGCAAGTGTGTGCATGTGTGCACGTGTGTGCGCGCCTACGTGTGTGTGCGTGTGTGTGTGCATGAGTGTGCATGTGTGGTGTACGTGTGTGCGCCTACATATGTGTGTGTGCATGTGCGTGTGTGTGCCTACATATGTGTGCGTGTGTGCATGAGTATGCACGTGTGGTGTACATGTGTGCGTGCCTGTGTGCACATGCATACATACGTGTGCATGCACGTGTGCACATGTGAGTGCCTGTGTATGTGCAAGTCCACGTGCACGTGTGTGCATGTGTACATGTGTGGAGCCATGCACGTGTGTATACATGTGAGTATGTGTACATTGTGGGTTTCTGTATGTGTTAACGTGTGCATGCACGTGCATTGTGTACTTGTATTTGTGCGTGTCACAGCGAGTGGGTGGCAGACCAGGGCTCACAACATGGCTGTCCTACTTCAAGCCTCGCCCTTGTGGCTGTGACCCCACTACACATGGATAAAGTGACGCCATTTTAGGGAGATAACCATGGAGCCGCCTCCTCTACTCCAGCATTCTCAAGGCGCTGGTCTGTTCCCTCTTCCTTTGCCCACCCATCCCCCTCCCCGGGCCACATGCCTGGGCTCAGAAGTGACCTTGCCCTCCCAGGCAGGTGGAGGTGGTGTGTGTGGGGTGTCATGCCCCTGAAGGAGCTCTGAGCACAGGAGGACTCAGGGAGCATAGTAAGGGAGGGGCAATGGGAGCTCTGAGCACAGGAGGACTCAGGGAGCACAGTCAGGGAGGGGCACCATGGGAGCTCTGAGGTAAAGGAGGACTCAGGGAGCACAGTCAGGGAGGGGCACCATGGGAGCTCTGAGGTAAAGGAGGACTTGGGGAGCACAGTGAGGGAGGAGCAGTGGGAGCTCTGAGCACAGGGGGACTCGGGGAGCACAGCGAGGGAGGAGCTCTGTGGGAGTGAGGCAGGAAGGGAAGGAGCACTCTGCCCCTTGACCCTGTCACCTGTACCCAGGGACCATGGTCACTCAGCTGCAATGAGCCCTTTCCTTCCTCCCAGGTGTGACTGTGGAATGATAAGGCCGCCAGTCCTCAGAGGTCCCATCTCAAAGGTCACAGGTGAGGGAGGGCTGGGTGCGGCCTGAGACAGCCCCAGGTGTTAGGTCAGGCACCTGGGGCTGGAACTGCCCATCCGTGACCCCAGCAGGTCCATGGGTCTAGGCACCCTCCCCACCTCAGCTACCCCACCTGAGAATGGTGGAAATGACATCCCCTGGCAGATTGGTTAACATGCCCTTCCTTTGCTGAGAGGCCTCCTAGTGCCCCCGCTGTCTGAAGCCGCACACACCCCCTATGGCCAGGTCCTCAGAGGCCGCGGGTCAGGGCTCCTGGTGAACCCTCACAGACTGGCACCCAGGCTCCGGCGAGGGGCACGTGTGCGAGGTCTGACCACATACTAAGAATGAGGGGACTCAGCAGGCAGCCTGTGGGGTTGCAGGGTCATGGGGTTGTGGGTCATGGGGTCGCAGGTCATGGGGTTGTGGGTCACCAGTCACGGGGTCATGGAGTCATGGGGTTGCAGGAGTTGGAGCCATCGGGGCTGCTCTTGGTCAGGCAGGGCTCCTCCACCCATCAGCCTCGCCGAGCCTCAGCCCCCTCCCCTGCCATGAGGGGATCAGTTCCTATCCGCAGAGTGATGGAAAGTTCTGGAGCCTCAATCACCCTCACACCACCTCACAGGAAAAGCCTGCGGTAGTGACCACTTCTGACCACTAGATGTCGCCAGAGCATAGCCAGGGCCACCAGTGCGGCCCAGCAGGGGGCTGGGGGGACAGCTGGGTGGCCCCAGCCCCTCAACACCCCTGGGTTGGGTGCCCTCACCCCTCAGCCAACACAGAGCACAGAAGCTGGGCATCTATGATGCTTGGTGTGGGGGGTGGTGGGGGAACTAGCCTGCGTGGGGACAGTGGGGTACCCCTGGTCTGTGCCCACTGTAGGGCGGGAGTGGCTGGGACCCCTTCAGCCCTGGGGGCATGGCCTCGAGAGGTGCAAGGGCTCAGCTGGGCAGCCTGGAACCATGGCCTTTGCAAGCTGCACCCCTCCCAAGCCTCAGTTTCCCTCTCTGTGCCTAAGGACTCTGGAAGGAAGAGCTGTGCTGGCTGGCACCCAAGTGGGCTTCCCGGGGGAAGGGTGGATCTGGGTGCAACCTGGTAATGTCCTGTCGCAGAGATATGGTGACTCCCTGGAGGGCCCTCCCCCTTTCCTTTGCTGACTCCTATTCAAGATGACTCAGCTTCACAGTCACCTCTTCCAGGAAGCCCCCTGGCTGTACTCCTCCTTTTTGTTTAGCCCTTAACCCAATAACTGCCAGCTGATACTGAGCTCTGAGGGTGAGCCCAGGCCTCCAGGGTCCCAGTGCAGATGCCCACTGCCCCCAGCACCTGAGCCCATCCCCACCCACCTTGAGGTCGTAGAAGATGATGTCACCGAGCACCAGGTACACCTTCACGTAATACAGCGTCTCCTCGTCGAACTCCAGGGGTGAGCTGCACAGCGACAAGGCCTTGAGGTAGAAGTGCTCGGCCAGCTCACCGTGGCCCAGCCGGTGGTGCAGGGCGGCCAGCCGGTGATAGGCCACGCGCTCGTTTAGCCGGTCCCCTGCGGACGGACGGACAGATGGCAGGTGAGGGGCACACATGAGAGCAGGGCCTGGTATGCAGGTGGGTCGGGGGAGGGGGGGCAGGCCGTGTGGAGCTCAGTCATGGTCATCACCCAGGAAGTCAGGTATCTCACTTCCCACCCAGAGACTCGGCTTGCCGGTCTGTAAAGCGGGCTAATGACGTTGTCCCCAGGTGGCCTCGGGGGTCGGCAAAGCCTTGTCTGTGTGTAGAGCTGGACGGGCCACCTTGGTCACAGCCTTTAACTTTACATGTTGCCATCAAGTCGATTCTGACTCATAGCGACCCCACAGGACGGAGTAGAACCGCCCCATAAGGTTTCCAAGGATTCCAACTGCCGACCTTCTGGTGAGCAGCAGAGCGCTTAACTACTGCGCCACCAGGGCTCCACCCTTTAACCAGGAGATGCCAAAGGACAGCGTCTGTGCACGTAGTCACTCGGTCCACCTGCTTTGTGCAGACGCGACGTTGGCACTTCCCCAGCCTGTGGTCAGCAGGGCCTTCCACCCCTGCTCGTGTTTGCTCAGAGGCGCCTGCACACCAGCCCCTCCCGGCAGACAGTGCTAGTTCCTCTCGGGCAGCCCCCAGGTGACCGCCTCTGGGGCCTGTGTTCACACACCAACTACGTGCTGGCACCAGCCACCCAGCACCATCGGCCCTCCCGGGCCTCAATCTTGGGGTGCAGTGTGACTGGGTGCAGGGACAGAGGGGTGCCCAGACCCCAGCCTTGGGTGCAGTGTGGTTGGGTGTGGGGTCAAAGAGGCATCCAGGTATTCGGGGACCAGCCTCTGGGAAAGGGACTGGCTGGCTAGAGGGGGAGATTCACCAACTGCGGGAGTGAAGGGGCACGGAGGGGGGACTAGCGTGACATGTGGGGCCAAGTCCTGCTGCAGGGAGCACTCCCTTGGAACAGGGTGAGCAGGGGAGCGACTGGCTGGTTCCCCCCCATCACCCTTGGAGGCCTGGGTGGGAGCAGGGGACCTGGAGAGTGGGGACGGGTGGAGGGGGCAGAGCTGAGACCCTTGCATGCTGCTCTTGCCCTCCAGACCCCGGAGGGGGACCCTTACCTTAAGGCAGACTTACCCAGGGTGATGCTGAGTGCCAGGGCCACGTGGGCGAACTCCAGGCCCTCCTGGGGCGACTCCAGCTCAGCAAGCAGTGCCACCAGCTTGTTGCACAGACGCAGCTCGGCCTCCTGGTTCCCCGTGGCCACCGCCAGGGGCAGCGCGCGGTCCTGCCCACACAGACGAGATCAGGCCCTGTCTCGCCTCGGTTCCCTCGTCAGAGCCCCACGCTCGTGCTGAGAGCCCCCCACCCCCACCATCACACTGGGACCTTCCACAGCTGGCCCCAGAGAGCGAGGAGGATTCCCGGGGCTGCAGCTGTCCCGTTTTACAGGTGGGGAAACTAAGACCCCGGGAGGCAGAGGCATGTCAAAGGACCCAGGCCCTGGGAGCTGGGTCTGGACCCGCCTGGCTACCCCGCCTAACCTCTGACTCATGCCCCGGCCTGGACCACGGGCCTCACCAGGCCGCCCCCAGACTCCTCTGTCTACTCGCCCCCGGCTGCCTGCACCCGGGGCTGCAGGACATGGAGCCATGCACTGTGGGCTACAGGATGGGGCAGGTGGAGGAGCACACAGGACTGGGTCCTGGGCCATGCCCTTGTCTTCTAAGCCTCAGTTTCCCCATTTGTAAAAGGGGCGGGCCTCTGACGCAGGGCTGTTTGGGCCACCGAGAGGCACGTGGTAAGCCAGGTGCCACCCTTGACCCTCCCACATTCAGCACTTCCTTTTGTCCCTCCCAGGCCAGGGTTGGGGTGCAGATCACTGCAGGGAACCTCAGGACTCTAGGTGTGAAGATGGGGTGCTTCAACTCCCAAGTGAGATGCATTTGGCTCGACCCAGCACCTCGCAGGGGCCCCGCGCCCACCCGCAGGCCCTGTACCCACCCACAGGAGCCCCACCCCTGCCCACAGGAGCCCCACACCCCCCAACAGGCCTGCATCCCCCCACAGGAGCCCCGCACCCGCCTGCAGGAGCCCCGCCCCTGCCCTCAGGCCCTGCACCCTGCCACAGACCCTCACCTGGTAGAAGGACACGGCCTTCTCCCGCTCCTGGTTCCCGTTGAAGAAGATGTCTCCCGCTGCCTCGAACAGCTCCAGGCCCACATGGGGATCCCCGGTGTACAAGGCTGCGTTCTGTGCCACCTGTGAGGCCACGGAAGGATGCCTCAGATACCTGGCACTCTGCCCAGAAGTCCCATGAGGTGGCCCAGCACCCGCCAAGGGGGGACTCAGGACCACCCCCAGATGCGTAGGCCTTTGGTGCCTGCTGTGGGGTCGACATGTTCAAGTCCTAATCCTGAACCTATGAACGTCACTGTCTTATTCATCTAGTGCTGCTGTAACAGAAACACCACTGGGGATGGCTTCAACAAACAGAAGTTTATTCTCTCACTGTCTAGGAGGCTAGAAGTCCGAATTCAGGGTGCCAGCTCCAGGGGAAGGCTTTCTCTCTCTGTCGGCTCTGGAGGAAGGTCCTTGTCATCAATCCTCCTCTGGTCTAGGAGCTTCTCAGCACCGGGACCCTGGGTCCAAAGGACATGCTCTGCTCCTGGCTTTGCTTTCTTGGTAGCATGTAGTCCTTCTCCTCTCTACTCCTCTCTTTTATATCTCAAAAGAGATTGATTTAAAACACAACCTGATCTTGTAGATTGAGTCCTGCCTCATTAACATAACTGCCTCTAACCCTGCCTCATTAACACCATAGAGGTCGGATTTACAACACACAGGAAAATCACATCAGATGACAAAATGGAGGACGATCACACAATACTGGGAATCATGACCTGGCCAAGTTGGCACATATTTTTAGGGGACACAATTCAATCCATAACAGTCACCTCGTTTGGAAATAGAGTCTTTGCAGATGTTTTCAGTTAGGTTAACATCTGAGTGGCGTCCTTATGAAAGAAGAGACGCAGAGAGATACTCGGAGGGAGATGGCCGTGTGAAGACGGAGGTAGAGATTGAAGTGATGTGGCCACAAGCCAAGGACTGCTGGCAGCACCAGAGCTGGAGAGAGGCAGGGAACCAATCCCCCCACAGAACGTCCAGAAGGAACCAACCCTGCTGGCAAACCCCAGGACTCCCAGCCCCCAGGGCTGTGGGCGAGTACCTCCCTGTTGCTTGAAGCCCAGGGGTGTGCCCAGAGCTGCAGACACCCTGGGAGACTGCCACCTCTGCTCTCACAGCCCTCCGCACACAGACCTGCTCTCCTTACAGGCCCACCCTGTGCAGCTGGGGCTGTAAACCTCAATACTGAGAGGCCAATAACCTGGAACCCCTAGCCCCACCAGCAGGTCTGCCCAGCAAAGCCCCAGGTCCAGCAGGGTGGGCTGAGAGGGGGAATGGGGTATAGAGCTCAGCCCGTTGTCCAAGTTTGCCTGGCTGGCCAGACCACAGCCTTCCCCAGCTAGCCCCTGCCAGCCCTGTATGAGAAGACCCACCAGCCCTATTGTGGCGTCACCCCAGCTGTCACCACCCCCAGCTCCCACTGTGTTTCTCCACAGCCCTATCAGAGTCTGACGCAGCACACACCCACCTGTCCCTTCTTCCAGAACATTCAGCCCTGTAGACAGACTGGCGGCTGCCTCTCGGCTGCATCCCCACCTGCCTGGCGCCTGAACTTCATAGGAGCCGGGCACACACTCCTTGAGTGGACGATCGGATGCTGGTCCTGCCTGCAGTCCAGCCAGGCCCGACTGCTTGCAGCTCCCAGAACTTTCCAGAATCTCCCTCATCTCTGAGCCACTGCACCGTTGAGTCCTGCTTCTAGCACACCCTTCTCCCACGAGGTGGACACAAGCCCCCACGTACCCTACGGCTCGAAGCAGCCTCTGTGACCCTCGGGCAGATGGCACCCACTCTCCAGCTCCCCCCACTTTGCCATATCTCTGCCCGGCCAGGGGACCCTGAGTGTCATGGATTGAATTGTGTCCCCCCAAAATATGTGTCAACTTGGTTCAGCCGTGATTGTCAGTATTGTGTGGTTGTCCTCCATTTTGTGATGTTCCTGTGTGTTTTAAATCCTAATCTCTGCCTGTGGTTAAAGAGGATTAGGGTGGGATTGTAACACCCTTGCTCAGATCACATCCCTGATCCAATGTAAAGGGAGTTTCCCTGGGGTGTGACCTGCACCACCTTTTATCTTACAAGAGATAAAAGGAAAGGGAAGCAAGTAAAGAATTGGGGACCTCATACCACCAAGAAAGCAGTGCCGGGAGCAGAGTGCATCCTTTGGACCTGAGGTTCCTGTGCAGAGAAGCTCCTAGCCCAGGGGAAGCTTGATGACAAAGACCGTCCTTCAGAGCCGACAGACAGAGAAAGCCTTCCCCTGGAGCTGAAGCCCTGAATTCGGACTTCTAGCCTCCGAGACTGTGAGAGGTAAACTTCTGCTTGTTAAAGCCATCCGTTTGTGGGGCTTCTGTTAGAGCAGCACTGGGTGACCAAGACACCGAGTCAGGGCTGTTTATGGACGAGGCAGCCTTCCTTCTCTCGGTCTTCAGCCCCTGGCCTGAGGGAGGTACACAGCAGGTGCTCAAAAGTGAAAAAGCCCTCAAGGCTCAAATCAAGTTATGTATGTAAGCTTCTGTGAAAAATGTATTCTAATGGCTGATTTCAGGTGTTCACTCGGCTCAGCTGTGGCGCCCAGCTGCTTGGTCAAACACTCATCTAGGTGTTGCTGTGAAGGTAACTACATGTAACTAACATTTACGGTTAGCTGACCTTAAGTAGTTTTACCCTCCATAGTGCTGGTGGACCGGATCCAATCAGTTGGAGGCTATAAGAGCAAAATCTGGTTTCCCGAGACAGAAGGGTTCTGCCTCAAGACTGTAACATAGACCTCCTGTCGGAGTTTCCAGCTTGTACCTGACCATGGTTTTCAGACTTGCCAAAATAAATCTCTAAGTACACATACATACATATATATTGTTATGGATTGAATTGTGCCCCCCAAAAAATATGTGTTGTAAATCCTAACCTCTATGCCTGTGGTTACAATCCCATTTGAGAATGGGTTGTCTTTGTTAATAAGACAAGATTAGTATAGGGTATGTCTTAAATCAATCTCTTTTGAGATATAAAAGAGAGTAAACAAGCAAGAGAGAGAAGCAGAGATGGGGAAAGAGAGATGTCAAGTCACATGAAGATTGCCAAGGAGCCATGGAAAAGAAGCTGAAGAGACAAGGACATTCCCCCAGAGCCGTCAGAGAGAGAAAGCCTTCCTCTAGAGCCAGCGCCCTGAATTTGGACTTCTAGCCTCCTAGACTGTGAGAAAATAAATTTCTGTTTGTTAAAGCTACTCACTTGTGACATTTCTGTTATAGCAGCGCTAGATAACTAATGTACAATATACATATATGTATATATATACACACATAATCATATATATACACATTCACACACACACACACACCCCACTGGTGGCACAGTGGTTAAGAGCTTGGCTGCTAACCAAGAGGTTGCAGTTCTAATCTACCAGCCACTCCTTGGAAACCCTCTGGGGCAGTTCTACAGGGTCGCTATGAGACAGAATCAACTCAGTGGTAACGGGTTTGATTTCTGCTCACACATGTATCGAGCACTTGCTGTGTACCAACACAAGACATTGAGCCTTCACCTCTGCCCCCAGGAAGCTCACCGTTTGGTGGCAGAATTCAGTTCCCCATGGCTGTAGGACTGAGGTCCCTGTCTCCTTGAGGCTGCTGCCAGAGCCACTCTCAGCTCCTAGCAGTCGCCCTTGGTCCTCTCCTCAGGGCCCCTCCCTGGACAGTTCACGGTGTGGGCCTTTGCTGCCTCACAGCCAGGGAGAGTCTCTGCAGCCTCCAATCTCTCCTTCAGGGAGGGCTGGGCCCTCTTTTACAGGGCTCGCCTGATTAGGTCAGGCCTACCCAGGAAAACTTCCCCTTGGAGTGAGTCAAAGTCGGCTAATTAGGGACCTTAACTACCTCTGCAAGACCCTCTCCCCTTTGCCATATATAATAACCTAATCTATTCACAGGCCCCACCCACACAAGGGGCGGGAGTGTTGGGACCATCTTAGAATTCCGCCTGCTTCAGCCTCCTCTGGGAAGCCCTCCGTCGGCGTTTTTATTTGCATTTTCACGTCAACCCTTGAGGGCTCAAGAAGCCCTGGACACTGTGCTCAGTGTTTCCTACACTGCTGTTGATCTTCTACCAGCCCAGCAAGGTATGCCTCGTAACCCGTGACAGGTGGGGAAACTGAGGCTCGCATCTTGTTGAAGATGCTGGGCAGTGGGGAGCCCAGGGACAGGAGGAAAACTGAAAGGAAACCAAGTAGAGGGGGGCAAAACCACAAGCTCCTGCACACAGCAGCTGCTCAACAGGTGGGTTTTGAATGAGTGAATGAGTCAGTGAGTGAATGAATGAATGAGTGATGAGTGAACAAATAAGTGACTGAATGAGTGAATGCATGGGTGAGTGAGTAAATGAGTGATTTAATTGGTGAGTGAATAAATGAGTGAATGGATGAGTGAGTGAGTGAATGAGTAAATGAGTGACTGAGTGGGTGAATGAGTGAGTGAACAAGTGAATGGATAAGTAAGTGAATTAGTGCATGAATAAGTGAGT